ATTTCCTTCTAACAGGATTCCTTTCTCCTTATTACAGGGCTTGGGAGTTCTCTTGCCATCACACTTGGCAAGATGTCACCACAGGGCATGCGGATGTCACCATGGGGCAGGTGGGCCAGAGGGTCCTGGGGTCACCGTGCTGTTCCTTGAGATGCATGTGAATCTGCAGTATCCCAGTTGGGGAACTGAGTAGGACAACCATGCAGTCGACCCACCAATGAGGAGAAAGCTGCCCAGCTCTGGGGGCCAACGTGCGGGGTAGTCACCGAGCGCGGCACTACGTCCAGGGGTGGGTGTGCCTGGCGCTGCTGGGTCCTCCAGTCTCCCAGTGCTGACCACAGTGCTGGGCTCCTTGACCTCTCGCAGCCCACCCTTGTCCCCACAGCTCCGCAGCTGACAGGTAGGGCCCTGCCTGTGGTGGCCATGACGGCGGCAGCGTGGGTCTGGCTCCAGGCTGCCTGGGTCCAGCTCCCCTCCTTCCCTGGCCTACTGGCCCCTGGGTCCCTGGGAGACAGTCTCAGCAGGGCAGAGACTGTCCCCAGGTCCAGGGCCCAGAAGAGAGCGTATGTGGGGGGCACGGAGCAGGTGCTGTCCCCATGGTGCGCCCAAGAGCCCCRTGGCACTACCTAGGATGACCTGGGCTGTCTACTGCTGAACTAGCAGAAACCGGGAGGATCAGAGCCTGTGAACTACCCCGTGCCAACAGGTGAGCAGCTGTGCCACAGGGGGGCGCTGTGGTCCCACGGGTGACAGCAGGTGATCTGGGCATCCATCCTGCAGGATCTGGGCTGCCTAGAGGACCACCCCTGCCTGGAGGTCCAGCTGCCTGGAGGCCCGTGCAGCAGCCCCGGGTTGTAGAGACCCCCACTCCTTCCCCAGGKTCGCAGGGCCACCCTGAGTGTCCTGGGAGAAGGGACAGTGAGCCAGCACCGTCCAATCACAGCAGGAGGTGCGTTGCCCAGAATGGGAAGGCTGACCCCATGCAAGCCAGGCCTTGGCATCCCTGACCAGGCTTGGAGGCCCKCTGAGCCCAGGATTCACACTGACTCAATAGGGTCTGCAGGCAAGAGGAGACGCCTCCACCCACCACGTCCTTCCTCTGCCCGACCAGATGTGCATTCCTGCTTCACGTCCAGTTTCCCCAAAACCTGGATTTCCCCCTGGCACTGGAGGGACAGACTCCTCAAATTCAGAGTTTGTGGGTCTAGGGCATCCTGGGCTTCCACGGCCTGGTTTGTCCCCAAGACTCGGCTCTGAGGGTGAGAAGACACCTCCACTGACCACAAGGCCAGTGACCAGGACTCGGGTCTGGCCGCTGTCCCTGGATGTGGCCCCTGGCTAGAGGGACGGGGGCCTTCCCTGGGACCACCAACACATCCTCCCCTGTGAGTTCTGCGGGTCTTCTCTCCTTGCAGCTGCCCCGTCGTGGTCTGGGGGACAAGATGCTGCCCATTTAAGATCTGCCTGAGTCCACCAAGTTCCTCCTGCCAGCCACAAGGGTCCCCAGGACTGTCCGGGCAGTGACATCAGGATGGCTGCTTATTGATCCCTGTGCCTGTGGCTAAATGACCCTTTGGCAGAGCTACCCCACCCTGAAGCAGGCCTGTCCCCYGGCTTTGCTGATCTGCATTTCTTAACTGTGGTAGAGTCACAACCTGAGTCGCGCTAGGGCACAGGCAGGGGCAGCAGGTCTGGCAGGGGCAGGCCAGCTGCCCAGCAGACACCAGKGGTCTGCGGCATGTGCGTTTTAAGCTGCAGTGCCTTGGGCTAGGCCCTGCCCTCTGCTGGGCAGCCTTCCCCACTGCCCATCTCCAGAACCCCACGCCTCTCCAGCTGGCCCCCCGCCCCGACTCCCCCTAGTGGTCCTGGCAGCTGCCTCCCACTTCGTGTCCCCCCGCAGGCGAGCGGGTGGGAGCCTCCTGGTAGTCCTCAGCTCCTCCCGCCGCGCACCAAGTGGGTGTCAGAGTGTCCTTGCCTTGAGGTTGAGCATGGTCTGAGGGCCACACTGTCCTTCCTCAGCCCTGAACTTGGGGGCCTTTGCCCCTGGCTGCTGCCAACAAGGCTGCCAGGCTCTCGATTGACCGCCACTGCTGGCCAGCCCTCCTCTGCGTGTTCAGCCCCTGCAGCACTGCTCCTGTCCCCAAGCCTTTGTGGGGTGCTGCTGGGGCCAGCACTGCCTGCTCGCTGCCCTCCCCTATCACAGGCCAGGCCTTCCTAGCTCCAGAACAGGGTGTCCTTCATCAGACAGACTGAGTGGCGTGGCATGTGCTCTGCTGCTGAGCTTTTCTGATGTCTTTTCTGAATTTGTTGTTGACTGGACCCTCCTAGGGGTCATGGCCACTAGGGGATAGACAGCTCCTGGCACCTGGTCCTGGGCTCAGCCACTTCTTTGGACTAAGAGTAGCAGTGGACGAGGATGCCACCCCACTGAGGAAGCCTGTGGGCAGTGCAGGCAGGAGAGCCACAGGGCGGGGCCTGTGAGGGACACAGGCAGGGGCAGCAGGTCTGGGCAGGGGCAGGCCAGCTGCCCAGCTGACACCAGGGGTCTGCGGCACGTGCCTCATATCAGAGCCTGAGGCAGAACCCCGCAGTGGGGTCRCAGACATCGAGGCTGGAGCTGACTGGCTGTGGCCACCAGGAGGACACTGTCCACAGAGGGTCAGCATTTGGAGATTCCCACTGATGCCCCATGATGCACCTTGTAAAAGCAGCTCCCCTTGGGGTGGTACCACACAGTGGTCTCCTGCCACCGCTCCAGGAGGCTCAGAGCTAACCAGCTGGACAGTGTAGAGCCACCCAGGACATCAACTCCGGAGCTGGAGGTCCTGCCCCTGCTCCCTCTACTCATCAGTCACTGTGTCCTCGGAGCCCCCAGGGCCAGGCCCGGCTGGGGGAGGGGGAAACCCAGGCAGAGGCCAGGGTCCAGGCAGCTTTGCCCCAGCTACTGCTGGCCCTGGGTTTTGGGGTTCACAGCCCACCCTGAGTGACCTCCACACTGCCCATCAGTCCTGGCTTCTGGTCGTTTGGGGGGCTGGATGGAAGGGGCCTCTGTGACACTCTGCCCTCCTGTGGGCAGGAGTCCCATGGCCCAGGGCAGCCTCCAAATCTCAGAGCTCGAGGTCAAAGCCAAGAAGCATGCAAAGGCTGGAGGAGGGGACCCAAACTGAAACAGGCATCCACTCCGTGTCCCTCTGGTCCTAAGAATACTCCCAGGGGAGAGAAGGGAGGGTGGACATCCAGGTGCCGGGCGAGGGCGACTCTGGGATCTGGGCCACCACCTGGGCAGTGGCCCTCCTGGCCTGGCCTGTGGGGCAGCGTCCTCCATGAGCAGGTCCCAGATCCATGGCTGGTCGGCGCTCCAGGCGGAGGTGCCACCCGGGACCCTGGCCTGCAGGCCACCAGATGCAGGAAGAGGTGGGTGGTGTGGGTGCAGTGGCCGCCGGCCGGGCCGCTCCGCCCCAAATGTCCCACAGGGCTGTGTCCTTGGTGCTTTCAATCTTTAAAGAGAAGCCTGAAGTTGGAGATTCTTATGTGAAAACTCTAATTTTTAACTAATTAAAAATTTTAAAATTAGTTCAAACTAATTAAAATTGATTAAGTTTGCACTAATTAAAAGTAATTGAATTCCTTTCAGAACACTGTGCACACGGAACCCATGGGCACCCTGGTCTGCTGGCAATGTGCTGGGGAGACGCTGGGCAGAGTGGAGGGAGTGGAGGAGGGCTGAGAAGGGCAGCCACCTTGGAGCAGTAGGAGGAGGACCAGGTGGGCTTCCTCGGCCTCCGGCACCACCATGGGCGGCCACATGACCCTCTTTCCTCTCCTGACAGGAGGATCTTCACCCAAGCAGCCCCAGCCCCAGCCCAGCCTGGTCCGCCACTGCACAGAGCCCACTGGGCTGCCCTGGTCCTCAGGGCTGGGCGGTGGGCACTGTCCTCCAGAGCACCAGCCCCTTGTACGTGGTGCTGGCCTCAAGTGGCTGCCTTGGGTGAGAAAGAGAGTGACGGTGGAAGGACTTGGGCAGAGGGCCGTGGCGGGGCCCTGGCCGTGGGCGGTGCAGGGTCTCCCTCAGCCCACCATATCTTCCTTGTGCTGCCACGTGTCCCCGGCTCTGACCATGCTGCTCCTGCCACTCGCCCCAGGGGCTTCTCTTCCACTCTGGTGAGCCAGGTCTCTGCCCCTCAGGGTGCCCACCTGGCTCTGTGCAGGGCAGCAGGCGGGCAGGCAGAGGGGCCACGCCCAGTGAGCCGGGGTGGTCCTTCTTCACCTGCAGCCAACACTGTGCTGGGGGATGAGGTGCTGGGCTGGACCAACGCATGAAGTGGCCATTGTAGTGGGTCCTCGACCTGTTCAGCCTCACTGACCACCCCCTCCACCCCCAGTCCCTCTGACCAGGGCTTGGCAGGAGGAGGTAGCAGCTGTCTGTGTGGACCAGGCCCACAGCTCCGCCCGCCCAGTCCCAGCACAGGGAATCCTGGTCTGGCCACTGACTCCTGTGGGGATGCTGGGCCCTGCCAGGCCAGGGCACACAGGAGGGATATGAGGGGGAGGTCCTGGGCACCCACACTGGACCAGTCCCTGGCTGCAGTCCTGGGTCAGTGTCCACATGGGAAGAGGGTACTGCCTTCTTCCTGAGACCCAGACAGGAAGACTTGGGGTCCCCCTGGCTTGAAGGTGACACCAGGCAGCTGAGTCATGACCCCGGGTGACGGGTTGGTCCATGGGGCTGGAGGGGAGCCAGCTGACCCCTGTCCAGGCTGGTCCCCATCAAGCCTCCGCAGGAGCAGATTATGGGGCTCTGGCCCTACCCTCAAGGATGGAGCTCTTGAGTCTTGGGACCTCCGTCTGAGGCCCCAGTCTGCCCACAAGGTCAGGAGCCACCTGGGCTTGGAGGTGAAGGTCCCCTGAGGCCCGGCAGGTCAGGCTGTGGCCACACGGGAAGGCTGGCCTGTAGGGCTTTGTGGACCACAGGAGAGAAACGGAGGGCTGAGAGTGGCAGCCTACAGCTCCACATGCCCATGTTCTGGGCTCCACAAGCTCATATTCTGGGCTCCACATGTCCATGTTCCATGTTCCCGTGCTCCCCGTGCTCCATGTTCCAGTGCTCCCCGTGCCCGTACTCCATGTTCCTGTGCCCCCACGTGTCCGTGCTCCATGTTCCCGTACTCCATGTTCCCGTGCTCCATGTTCCCTTGCTCCCCGAGCCCGTGCTCCATGTTCCCGTGCTCCATGTTTCCGTGCTCCCCATGTCTGTTCTCCATGTTCCAGTGCTCCCCGTGCCCGTGCTCCATGTTCCAGTGCTCCATGTTCTCGTGCTCCCCATGTCCGTGCTCCATGTTCCAGTGCTCCCCGAGCCCGTGCTCCATGTTCCCGTGCTCCCCGTTCCCGTGCTCCATGTTTCTGTGCTCCCCATGTCCGTGCTCCATGTTCCAGTGCTCCCCGTTCCCGTGCTCCATGTTCCCGTGCTCC